GGAATAGCTAAGAGCTGAATATAAAATGATGTGGCCTTAGATTAAGAATAATTTAAGAGCATTATTGATATATATTGAATATCAAATGACTTGGAATAAAATATTGAAAATATTTTGAATGTTTGAACCATATATTGTGTGCATGATATCAAATGATTGATTATGAATTGAGATTCAATTTATGTGGATGTTCGACGTTTTAGATATGCTTACTCAGCTTCACCGCTGAGCGTGTAGTATGTTTTATTTGCTACACGCAGGTAAACAGAAAGATTAATGTGATCCTGGCGGCAGATGGGGCGAGATTGTCGGGATGGATGTGACAAGTTTTGAAATGATTTATGATATGTCAATATTAAATTCGCTTCCGCAATATTGTTAAATACTCCGTACTGTATATGTTATGAAAAATATTATTGAGATTAATAAAGTGTGTTTGAAAAGTTTTAAATTTTACGATTACCAAGTTAAATACTTTAGTCCGAAAGGGGCTGCAGACCTGGACGGATTAGGGTGTTACACGTTAGATTTTGTTTTTTGAGTTAATTACTCCTATCAAGAAGAGTTTAAGTTTCAACTCTTATTTTGAGAATATGACATATACTACCTCCGTTTCTCAAAAGAGTTCCTCTTTTGACTTTGGAGGAAAATAAGGAAGTGTTAAATTGTAGTTGACTTTCCAATTTTGTCCTTGATGTGATGGGTAAAAGTAAGATGTGATAGTTTAGTTGTTAGTGAAAAAGTATGATGTGATAGGTAAGGTATGAAAAAGTAGGGCTAAAAGTGGTTTTTTAATATAAAAGGGAAGTGTTTTAAGAAAAACAAAAAAAAATGAAAGAGGAAGGGTTTTAAGAAACGGAGGGAGTATATGTTTTACTCCTACTATGGTCATTTTCTTAAGGAGAATTTATCTTACATAATCTCACCTTTCCACATTTTTTTCAAAAATAATATCAATTTTACATGTTACGAGAAATAATCTTATCTTTACGCATGTGTGCGAGCTTTGGATTGCTGTTAAGAAACTAACGACAACTCAATCAAATTTTTTGAAAATGCATGTTTTTCACAAATAAATGAATTAAGGTGAGCATATTTTAGGCAAATTTACTTTTTTTCATTTTTTTAATTTTAAGTAAAATTTATGTTTTTAAAAATATAACAGTACACTCTTGATAGAGATTTGTTTCAATTATTTTTAAAAATCTAACGATTTACAAATTTTGTATTGTGTTCCGAGGGAAATATAAAACTGGATTGTCAAAAAATAATTCTGAGTATCGTTCGGAAAAGAAATTGCAATACAAAAAAGTTTTAGTGAGTAATAAAAATAATTAATTCCATTTTGGAGAAAAAAAATATTTTTCCATTTTCACAACTTTTGAGTTTTTATTTTGGGGAAAAAAATATACTAAATTAGTGAATTATCAAAAAAAGTACAAGTTTTGTAGTGCCATTTTTTTTATAAAAAAAAATAGTATAGCATCAAAAAATGTAGTGAGTTATGAAGTAAATAAACTAGTTTCATTGTGTAGAATAATTTATTGTGCAATTTCACAACTTTTGAAATATTATTTTGGAAAAAAGAATATTACCAGATTATCGATTATTGAAAAATAATTAGTTTCACTAAAAACACTTAAATTTGGTACTCCCTCCGTCCCAAAAGGTTTGTTACGTTTAGAAAAAATTGCGTCCCGTAAAGTCCGTTACATTTCTATTAAAAACCACTTTTACCCCTTACTTTTTCATACCCTATCTATCACATCATACCCTTTTTCTAATAATCTACCCATCACATCCTACTTTTACCCATCACATCAAGTGTATTTTTGGAAAGTCAATACCAAAATATCCCTCCCTTAATTTCCCAAAAAGTCAAACCGTCCCATTCTTTTTGGGACGGAGGGATTATTATATATAAAAATATTTTTAAAAAATACATTTAAATTTAAATTTAGAAATTAAAAAATAAAAGAAAATATAATTTACCTAAAATAATCACACCTTTCATTTATTTATGAAATATAAATATTTTCTAAAAATCATGTTAAGTAAGCGTCCTAACGGCGATCCACATATGAAAAAATGTGGGATTATTTTCCGTGACAATGAAAAGTGAGATTATTTTTGGAAGAGTGCAAAAAGGTGAGATTATTTGATATAACTTTTTTCCTTTTTGTAATACTCCGTAATAAACATGTAATTTAATTTAAGACGAAAGGAGCGATGTATAACATAAAATAAAACAGGAAGAATTAAATCATTTAAACTCTTCGAGTTTTTAATAAAAAATTGAATGGCATGGGACTGAAGTGTGTGACTGATGTTGACAAAGAAGGTAAAAAAAATTAGAATTTCATGAACCTAAGAAAAGGTTTTATATTATAGAAACAAAAGCCTATATAGACTTTTTAAAAAATACAGTATACTCCGTAGTTGGTGAGTGTTTTCTAGCAGTAAAAAGAATGGTGCAATAATATCATCACGTGAAAATGAAAATATGTCGACCATATTTTTTTTCTTGTACTGATTTTCTTGTACGTGGGCCCCTCATAGTGTGAAAATGTTTAATCTGGTCATTTTTGTACAGGGATGGTGTACAAATGGGTTACACCAAATGGTATACCCATAGCATCTCCCTTAACTTTTTCTTGCTAGTTCATTTACTAAAAAGTACTCCCTCCGTCCTGCTACTTTTGTCCCAGAGTATTTGTCCACTTTCATTTTTATACACCATCCAATGCACTTCTTTAATGCATTTTATCTTGTAATTTGTATATTAAAAAATTATAGAAATTATATATTAATAATCTATATGTTAAGACAAATCAAACAAGATCACAAATGACTATATTTAGGCTTACACATTGAGAGAATTTGATGAGTCGAAGTGCTTAGATGAACAGTTCCAAAAGTCAAAACTAGACAAATACTCCGGGACGGAGGGAGTATAATGTTCTTCCCGTTAGTGTTTACGAGTTTTGACCAATTTTATTTTTACTTTAGTTTTTTGATTGTAGGTGTAGAATTAAAAAATAAAATTTATATATTTAAATACTACATCAAAACTTCTACAAAGCAAGTGGTGACAAGACTATATTATTTTATCAAATATCAAATGAAAATATGTAAAGAAAGTGATTAAAGTTTGACCGTGTAAAAAGTTACTGGAAAAACATTTTAGGACAGAGGGGTAGTGAATAAGTAAACCAGTAAAGGTCTTGGACATCCCAATTCTGAAATTCTTTTAGACTATGAAAATTTATTTTTGTATAAGACGTTTTTCTTTGCGTGTTTCAATTTTTTATTTCGTTTTTCTATATTTTTAATTTTTTGTTTTGAATTTTCTTTTTGAACTTACCAAAAAAGTATTCTAGAAAACAAAAGGTGAAAACCTTTAATTTGAGATTGATCGAGTATATGTTATATATTTATATTTTTCTTTCAAACACAAAGAATTTTGAATTTTTAAAACAATATAAAAATTGAAATGCAATTTAAAAAACTTTCCTAGGAAAAGGAAACAAAGACATAAAAAAAGATTTAGAAAAAAAGAAAAAACCAAATAATAAACAAAAACAAGAAATGAACATGAATGTTTCCTATGGTTTAGAAAATAGGCAAAAATGTCTCTTTTTTCGTCGGAAAATGATCAGAGAGGGTGTGGGTGCAACGTTTTGAAACCTCGAAGAGTTTAGAAATAAGTTTTTAAAATAGAGAGAATATTGGTGCAATTTTTTTAAACCACAGGTGGCAGTGGAGCTATTTGGCCAAACTTCTAAATATACTTACATGAGTCATGGTACAAACTCACCATTAACCTCTGAATTCTTATGTTTTTTCTTCAAATTTCCAATAATGTACTGGTAGTTTCTTGTTTTTTATAAAATGCATGTTTTACCTTCAAACTCTCTAAAAAGTGTATATTTTTCCCACAAACTCTTAAAACTATATCATTAGTCTTTATATGTTTCATAAGAGTAAATTTTGAAAATAGTCCTTTGTAATAAGGTATTTTCCCAAATTATATCAGTCCCCAATAAGTTTAATTACCTATGTGATCCACTGTAATTGAGATTTATTCTCAAGATGGTCCTTCGTAAATAATGTTACTCAAATGAGAATTAATTGAGGGTATTTTTTTATTTTTATACGCTAAATTTAGAATTCATTCTTTAAAAAATCATTTATAATAAAGTGCTTTCCCAAAATGGTTTTTTTCTAATTAAAGATGTGTATTTGATTTAAAATTTAAAAGATTTTTTTATAAGTTTTAAATAATTCATGAATTATTTATAGTCAATGTATTTTTTATAATTTTAAATTTAGTTGTATAGAAATGACTGCTTCGAGAATATACTTTAAATTTGGATGATCAAATTACCAAAATATCTTCCAATTAGTCATCATTTGAGTAACATTATTTACGAAGGACTATCTTGGGAATAAATCTCAATTATAGAGGACCATGTAGGTAATTAAAATTTATTGAGGACTGAATTGGAAAAACACCTTATTACAAAGGACCATTTTAGGAATTTACTCTTTTAATAAAATACACGCTTCCCCCCTAAATTTTCAAAAATGCACCATTCGTCCTATTTTTATTTTTCTTTTTAATTAAGTTTGATTAAAGACGTAAAACCAAGAGAAATTCTTAGGGTTTATGCACCATTTTTTAAAATATAAGACCAGTGGTATACTTTTAAAAATTTAGTAAAACGTACACATTTTATGAAAAATATAGGAACTAATGGTGAAAAATGACCGCACAATTGGCATAAAGATTTATATACCGACTAGTTTCTTCAACAAAAATGTTAGAGGGAAACCCACTCTAAGGTTATATCACCAAGTTATGTTTCCTAAAAATAGTACTCCGTAATTATTATTGACGTTTGAATAATTGTCTATTGATTCACTCAATATGGAATAATACAAGAGTATAAATACTAGGGACTCCAAACATATCAAGGAGTCATAAAAAGGTAGTTACCAAAAATACACAACCACTATAAATAATATATATGTCTAACATCCCCCCTGAAGCTGAACACCGTGTAACGAGTGGAAACTTGGACACAAGATTCTGGAAACGTGGAGAAGGCAAAGCTTTAGTTAGTAAGTCAGCAAGTTGATCCTCAGAGAACACATGTGAGACACTCATAGTACCAACAATAACTTGTTCGCGAACAAAGTGACAGTCGATTCCCACATGTTTCATCCTCTTGTGAAAAACTGGATTCTTGGTGAGACAAATAGCCGATTGGTTGTCACAGAAAAGATGTGGTGGAGAAGTGGGAACATGCAAATTAGTTAAGATATAAGTCAACCACATAACTTCGAATGCAGCAGCAAACAACACACGATACTCAGCTTCCGTTGAAGACTTCGACACACGTGTCTGTTTTTCAGTACTCCACGACACCAGATTTGGCCCCAAGTAGATCAAATATCCAGTGACTGATCGTCCATCCGTCATATCATTCACCCAGTCCGAATCAGAGTATGCACGAAGCAAAAGATCACCTGCACGGAAGACTAGACCCCGATCAAGTGTCCCTTTGACGAAACGCAGGATTCGCTTTAAACTCTGGAAATCATTTTGAGTAGGTGCATGCATTCTTTGACAGACATAGTTGACAGCAAATTGGATATTGGGACGAGTGGTAGTGAGATATTGGAGACCACCAACCAAGATACGAAACAAAGTGGGATCATCAAATAGGGTCTCACCCCCCGGCTCGGCCGTCTGTCGTACGGGCAGAGGCGTAGACGACGGTCGGCAGTCGGCCATTCCGGCTCTGTGGAGAAGTTCAGCTGCATATTTTCTTTGAGAGAGCACAAGGCTGGACGCTGTGCGTGAGACCTCAAGACCAAGAAAATAATCCACATGTCTGAGGTCTTTTGTCCGAAACTCTGTGCACATGCGATCAATAAACTACTGGACGAGAGAGATGGAAAATAAACATAGACAAGTAATATGAGAGTGCCTCTTGAGTTATGTAAAATAAATAAGCTGGTGTCATGCACATTCTTCCGGAAGCCATAAGCAAAGAGAAAAGTAGAGAGTCGCAGATACCAAGCCCGGGGTGCCTGTTTAAGACCATACAGAGACTTTGCGAGTTTACAGACGTGCCCTGGGATTTGCTGGTCAACATAGCCGGGTGGCTGAGTCATATAAAGATCCTCATCAACCTCACCATGTAAGATGGCATTGGAGACGTCCAATTGCTACAGGGGCCATTGACGAGAAAGAGCAAGAGTAAAAACAATCCGGATAGTTTGCTGTTTAACAACTGGACTGAAAGTCTCATAATAATCCAGACCATACTCCTGAGTATACCCTTTAGAAACCAGCCGTGCTTTATATCGCGAGATGGACCCATCAGGGTTACGCTTTATTTTGTATACCCACTTACACCCAATCGGAGATCGATCCTTAGGTCTCGGCACAAGAACCCATGTATTCTGAGCAAGCAAAGCAGAGTATTCTTCATCCATAGCACGACACCAGTACTCGTTTTGGGATGCCTCGCGATAGGTGCTGGGCTCAGTAACAGGAGGAGAGGAAGTGGGTTGAAGGGTGTAGAGTTTAGGCTTGAAGATGCCATGTTTTGCACGTGTGATCATGGGATGAGTGGGTTGTGGGGGAGGGGGTGCCATAGGGAGAGAGGGGTTTAGCAGGTTTGGCGTGGGAGATGGGGAAATAGGGGTGGGGTTTTGAGACTCGAGAATGGGGTGCATGGAAATAGGGCTGGGTGATGGGGTTAAATTCGGCATAGGGTGGGGTGTGGTCGGGGTGACTGACAGGGAAGGAGGGGTAGGAAAACCAGGTGGGACGGTGGGCGCAGGTCTAGGCGAAGGGGCAACGGGTAGTTGGGATGCATTTTGAGATGACGAGGCCACGTGAGCAGGGGCTGACACCAAAGATTCGGGAAAAATCGAGAGAACCCCGAAATAAGACGGTGGAGAGGGCGTTGGAGAGAGACTACTATAAGGAAAGACAGACTCATTAAACTAAACATGACGGGAAATATAGACGCGCTTTGTGGATGGATCGTAACAGCGGTAACCTTTGGACAAATGCTCATACCCAAGGAAGACACAACGTTTGGAACGAGGTTGTAGTTTGTGATCAATCTCATGACGGAGATGTGGATACACAAGACAACCAAAGACACGAAGATGAGAATAGTCAGGTGGGGTGTTATAGAGAGCCTCAAATGGAGATATATTATTGAGAGAGCGCTTTGGCATACGATTAATGAGATAATTCGTCGTTGCCAAAGCTTCAACCCAAAACATAGTCGATAAGGAAGAGGTATAGAGAAGAGTAAGAACAGTCTCAATAAGATGTCCGTGCTTGCGCTCAGCTACCCCATTCTGTTCAGGAGTGTAAGGGCAGGATTTATGATGAAGGACTCCTAACTCTTGTAAAAAACACCCAAATCTATGGTTAACATATTCACGACCATTGTCAGTGCGAAAATTTTTAATGGTTTTGCCAAATTGATTTTGAACCATAGATTGAAAACTTTGAAAAGCACCAAAGGCCTCAGATTTGTGTTTAAGTGGATAGAGCCAGCAGAATTTAGTATAATCATCCACAAAGTTAATATAAAAATGATAACCCCCAAAAGATGGAACTGAGGTAGGTCCCCGAACATCCGAATGTATTAATTGAAAAGATTCAGTGGTTACACTAGAAGATAATGGAAATGGTAATTTATGCGACTTAGACATAGAACAGGACTCACATTGAAACATATCTGACTCAAAATTAACGCCTAATTTGGAAAATAAAAACTTGGTGACTTGAGACGACGGATGACCAAGCCGACAGTGCCATTGATGAGAAGTGACGCGCACGGCATTGGCCAACACATGAGACGCTGCAGTGATGGGCAAACCAGGAGACTTGACTCGAAGGGTGTATAGACCATGCTCACATGGGCCTCTGTATATCACCTGATTGGTAAGATTGTCCAGGATCAAAAAATCCTTAGAGGTAAAAAGAATAGAGCAATTATTGTCACAGGTAAATTTATGGACAAATAAGAGATGCGTATTCAGAGTAGGGACATAGAGCAAATTGGAGAGGGTAAAAGTACCTGTGGCTGTGGTAACCTGTCCTGAGCCAACACTAGAAATCGGTAACGACTGTCCCCCAGCCGTAGAGACCGAGTTGGAGCCATAATATGGATGAGAATGCTGCAACCTTGACAAATCAGAGGTAACATGAGCAGTTGCACCAGAGTCTAAGTGCCAATTTTGATTGGCTGCTGTAGAGTATGCGGTATATAAAGCCTGATTGTTATGAGATGACGCGGAGGAGCTCGAGAAATCTTCATTAAACCGATTCCAACACCACAGGGCACTGTGGTTAGGCTTACCACAAATTTGACACACTATTGTGTCACCACGGAAGGGGCCCGCCCGCGTCCACCATACCGACCGCCAGCACCACCAGCACCACCAGGCCTCCCGCCTCCTCCAGTCCAGCCGCCACTGCCGGAGGGCCTGCCGTATCCCCTGCCGCCTCCAAAGTGACCACGGCCACGCTGAGTGGACGAACTCTCCTGGGAGGCATAGAGAGCGGTATGTAACTCCGTGGACGAACCTGTTGTCGGACCAAGACTGAGTTTTTGTTCAAGTTGAATATTCAGTTCCTCAGATAATAGCCAAGAAGAGACAGTGTTGAATGTGAGACTGGCAAGATTGGTCCGAACATTTTGTTTTAGAGATCCATATTCAGGCGGTAGACCACGCATGACATTGAGAATAATATCTTGTTCTGGGATTGGTTCACAGGCAAGGGCAAGGGCATTAACAATTTTTAAGACCTCATCAAGGTAGCTTTGCATACTAGATTGTCCCTTACGAATATTATGAAGCTGCTCCTTTAGTTGAAAAATATGCGTATGAGACAACGAATTATACCTTTGGTGAAGATGATTCCAGATTTCTGCGGCTGTGGTGCACATATGAACATAGTTCTGAACGGTTGGAGAAAGCAGAGCAAGGAGGGAGGCTCGTAGTTGTGCATCAATGATGACCCACTGTTCATATGCCGGGTTGGGCTTCATCACTGGTTCTTTATCTCCGGCGGTGGCTGCCTTTTCGTCAAGAATAGTGGGTGGAGGTGCGGCATCAGTACCATCAACATGCCCAAAAAGACGATGTGCAATGAGGGTTGCTTTCACTGTTGATGACCATGACGGATAGTTATTATCCTCCAATTTTGCAGGAACCAGAGAATGCAGATTACGAAGAAATAATCGCAATCCTCCAGGAAGGGTATCGAACACGTCTCGCCCATTAGTTGCCATGACAAAAGGAAGCTATATATTATTGGGCTAATGATTGGGATGAGAAACCAGCGGCTAAAGGCAGATTTGGCTGGGGAAAAAACAGCGGCTAAAAGCACAGGGAGGAAGAAGAGACAGTCTGCCGTTTGCAGACCAGGGAAGGCAGGCGTCCGCAGAGAAGAACAGGAGAGGCGGATCAGAAAAAAACAATTAGGGTTTGGAACCATGCCCCTATACCATATTGACGTTTGAATAATTGTCTATTGATTCACTCAATATGGAATAATACAAGAGTATAATTACTAGGGACTCCAAACATATCAAGGAGTCATAAAAAGGTAGTTACCAAAAATACACAACCAGTATAAATAATATATATGTCTAACAATTATCAGTGAAAAGTTTTATTTGTAAAACACTACTGACACTAGTAGTGTTCACATTGATGTCATCAATGATGGATTTATAGCATGACTCTTTCTTCAATTCAAATCAAATGCAAAAATGCTAGAAACCTATCTGGTTTAACATACCAAAAGTTTGACACAAGTATTTCACAGACATGTATAGATAATGATTATATATGCATCACAGACAAATAATTGTCTATATGTGTTTGTGAACACTCGATGCCTAAATCTTGGTGTCAAATCTGATGAGTATCTAGCATGACTCAGTCAAATATCAATGGCATCGGTCTATTAGATAGAAAAATGTCATACAGACATGGGCTCACAGACGTTGATGTATGATGTTTTTAAATCCATGTTTGTGAAATAGTTGTCTATATTCTCCTTTTCCTTTGTTCAAAATTAGTTGTCACTTTCCATATTCAGTAATATGTAAAAAGTTTATTGAGTCGTCTATAATATCCTAGAATTAGAGGTTGCGCCGGGAGTCTCTTGAAAACAGCCTTCCTACTTCTGAGTAGGGGCAAGGTCTGTGTACGCACATCCTTCCCAGACCCTACTGTAGTGGAATTCAACTATGTTGTTGTTGTTGTCATTGTTAATATAAATAACTAGCTTATTTGAAAAATTTATTTTCCATTCTAAACTCATCTCTTAAAAATGACATCTAAAAGAAAAATACAAAACTAAGATCGGACGAAAGTACTAAAAAACTAATCAGTACAATAATTTCTACTGCACTCGACGTGTTGTTGTTGCCAGGGCCTTTGTTGGCTTGGTCTAGATCAGTTTAGATTTTGGTCAGGTCGGTTTGTAACAATAAGAAAACCAAATTGGTCGAGCTGATCATGGTCGGTTTTGGTCTGGTCCCGGAAAACCGCGAAGAAACGGACTTTGGCTAAATCAGCATTGGCCCGTTCATCACTCTGGTTTTGGTTTACCATTGAAAAAATTACAACACTCATTTTTAAGAACACCAAATGAAGTAAAAACAGAAACATGATCCACTCTTTTGTGTCAGAAGCAAAACCAGAACAAATTGCATCAACAAGAAATGCTTCTCTCATTGTATTATTTGTCAAGTGTCATAACGGGTATTGACATCAAAGGCTCGGTGACGAACCCCCATGACGATTTGGACGTACATTTGCTCAAGAACTAAGCAAAAGCAATGCAAGAAACGACTCACTTCGTTGACAAATCCGTATTGAAAAAATATGAGCTTTTCACAACTCATCTGCAAAGAAGCCTGCATAAAAATTCCAACACCCAGAAACTATCTAGACTCAGGCCCTTGATGGGGATCTTCAAATCAGAGATAGAAGAGAGGGTGATCATATAAATTTCACTCCACACAGATGACATCCAGCAATTTCATGGCTTCCCCACTCAGCTCCGCGTTCTCCATTTTAACACGCCTACGCATGATTGGAGATGTTTTCCCAGCAGCTGCATACGTTCTAATCAAAGATTCGACCACTTCGCTGCTCAACTGATCACGAGCCTTCTTCAAAACCTCCACGAATCGTTCTGCTCCCTCAACATCTTTTTCTGTTTCATATTGTCTCATTAATTCCCCAACGATGGCAGTTGAGGGTACCCATTTCGTCCCAGCACGTCTTCCAGTTGCAATTGCGTTACCAATGCACTCAATGGCGGAAGAAATCTCCCTGTTTTTCATGCGATAGTCTAGAAAAATTTCCCATGTCTTTGTGTTTGGGTTGGCCCCACCTCCTTGTGCCCGTTTTTTGAGTTCTTTAGCCTTTTCCAAGGACCCTTGTTTGGCATAAGCTTCCATGAGAGAATTTGCAATACGAATGTCATACTTACGTCGCTCTTTACACTCCCACTCCTTGAAACATTTCTCTGCACCCGGTATGTCATTCAGCTTGATCAATGTCTGGATCATATTGAGATAACTTATGTTTGCAGTTTTGGGAAAGGCAAGCCTTAAAGCACGCCAAACACGATATACTTCGGTCAATTTTCCAATTTTTCCATAGAGTGTGATGAGGAACTGGTAGGCGATGAGATCTCTGGTTGTGTTTTTCTTCTCCAATTCCTTGAGTGCGTTCTCGGCCTTGTCATGTAAACCGGCATCAGCATAAACTGAGGCCAAATTGCTGTAAGTGGTCCAATCTTCAGCAACTCGGCCATCCCTTTTCATCTCATCAATAACTCTCTCTGCTCCAGACACGTCACCTAGTGCAGCGAGAGCCCTCATCCAAACATTATAGGTGAAACAGTCTGGCAAGATGTCACCTTCCTTCATTTCTTGAACAATTGCCGGAATCTTTTCTGGGTGTCCTGTTCTTGAATAGAGAGTCATTAAGCTGTTGTAAGGCATTGAAGTTAACTGCAAGTTGAGTTCTTTCATTTTCCCTAACAAGGCCTCTGCTTTCTCGGTCATTAATTCCTTGCAGTAACAGTTCAAAAGCGAGCCGTACGTAAAATGATTCTTTGATGGTTCTGAAAGATTTGTAAAATATGCCTCTGCAGCAGCAATGCCTTTGCTTTTCGCAACAAGATCTAAATGCACGGCTTTATCACTAGCAGTCTTATTCATGCCCCTCTTCTCCATTTTTTCTGATAACTGTTGCATTATTGTACATTGTTAAATGTCAGTGCTCTGCTAGATACAGCTCACAAATCCAGACATAGCTAGAAGAGATTTCAATGATAATGCTAGTGAAAAAAAGGGCTTAAGATTAATAGTGTGTTTCTGGGGAGATTAGCAATGAAAAGCAACACTGCATCTGCAGTGAACCATTAAGTACTCAGTAATTGTTACCATACTATATAGAATATCTGCCACTGAGCATCTGATTTCACCAAATCATAGAATTGGTTTGCATTCTCTTCATATTCATTTATATGAAAATGCATCCATTTTAGCGGCGGACAAAATCATAAATTTAGGGTTTAGAAAAGAGAATAAAGATGTGTAAAGTTAAGAGCGTTCAAGGAACAGGAAATGGACGCAAATGACAAACCTTGACAGCCGGAGAATAGAGCTTTCTCTCCCGGAGGAGCTTGACGGAGCGACTCACCTCCCATTTGTACGCGCTTTTGCGGGATTTCAGGAACTCGTTCAGATTTTTTCCAACACAATTCTCTTTTCCTCCATCCTTGAATAGTCTCTGGTAAAGCGCTTCTTCCAAGTACTTCTTAGTGGATCTCTTTCCGATGATCTTCGTCTTCGACGAAAATCTCTGCATGAAGGACGCCATGATTGATAAGCCTCCAACGTTCTTCTCGTATTTGCTTCGATTCGTTTGTTCAGCTTGGATCAGTGTGAGAACCCTAACAGCTGAGGACGAAGAGCGGAAGAAGTGGGCTGGGACGAATAGCGTTCTTCTGGGCTTTCTGGCCTAAAGGGTACTGTTCCTGATGGGGAGACCCAATTGGCTGTATGAGGTGAAATGTCCACCCCACGCGCCCTATTACCCCGGCGCGACAGGATTCTAAGCGGATAAATCATAGTATAATCTCAATCTAATTTTTAGAATTGTTGTATCATGCCCATTGTACAAAATGAGCTGTTACAAATAATAGAACTCTCATAGTGCCACTGTCGAAATTAGACTCTATGATCAACAGACTTGACATTTTCTAGGGCTGTGCACAATTCGGTAAACCGACCGAACCGTACCGAAACCGAAAATTCGGTACGTACCGAAACCAATCCCAATAATTTGGTTCGGTATTCGGTTTTTCTTTTTGCTAAAATTTGGTTTTCGGTTCGATTTGGCTTAGTAATTCGGTAATTCGGTTTTTACTGAATACCAAATTATTACTCCATTTTATTATTTTAAATATTTTGAAGTTTGAATTCTAACCTTGAGTCCTAGCAACTCATATAGTGGTCTACCTTATTTTATCTTTCCTTTTATTCACAATTTTAATTACTAAAAAATACTCCATATCTAGCTAAATTTTCTCATGCTTGCGGTACAAATATAATTTTATCGAAATTCTGGTTCAATCTGGTATGGTTTTACCGAATGAACACCCCTAACATCCTCTATTGGACCACTTGAGCTATCTATACGGGCTAACTTGGCTTTAATTATGAGGTTTTGAAAGAACACTTTGCATTCTCACATAGGGTGTAATTATTTTACAAAGCATGAGGTCAAGTATGAGATAAAAAATATAGGGTTATCCGACCTTATTCTTCTCAAATACAGAGTAATACACTACAAAAAAATGAATTATTTTGCGTTTGTGATATCTGTGAAGATAAAAAGGTTAATGGTGCACATTCTTCGTAAAGGTACAAAAACTATGACTCACTATATTGATGACGTAACGACTATTTTATATGATTTGGATGTCTTGAATGAAGATATCCCTGAACGTGATGTGGTGAATGTTGTCATATGTGGCCTCCCCGCCGAATATTCTTCCTTTATAAAGAATATTCAAATGAACAATGAAAATATCTCTCTTAATCAACTCTCTAAACGGCTTGTCTCTAATGAAATTAATCTGGAGATGGAACAAAAACTAAGCTTGGCTGATTCAACTTTTGGTGGACCTCACACAACACTTTTCTATTCAGGCGCTCGAGGCCGCGGTCGAGAAGGAGGACGCATTCGACCTCCCTTTGGTCACGGGAATGGTTTACCCGCAGCGGTCGAACCAGCAGTCGAGGGGGAGGCTATGGATCATTGCGTGACCTTCCAATTTGTCAAATCTGTGACAAGCAAGGTCACTCTTCTGCTGCGTGCTGGTATCACTTTGATGGTTCTTATAATGGGAATACCTCTGTCACCACATCCGGTGCTATGCATGCCACCACAAAAAATTGAACTGGTAATTTGTATCTTGATACAGGTGCCAACACTCATGTCACACATTATCTCTTTGAGCTGCAATCTTCTACTCCATATCATGACACCAAAACTATCACTCTAGGTAATGGTCACACCATACCCAAAACACATGCTGGATCTGGCTATATCCACACTCTTCTTGGTAAATATAACCTCTCCTCCTTAAGGCTACATTCCATTTGCCTGATCTCATCTGATCTGATATGATTTTTGATGTTCTGATCTGACTTGGTCTGGTATGATCTGATCTCATTGGATCTGATCTAATCTGGTCCAATCTGATCTGGTTGGGTCTGATCTGATATGAATTTGATTAAAATTAAAAGTTTTATTATAATAGTTATAATAATGATAATAATAGAAATATTAATAATAATAATAATAGTAATAGGAATAGTAATAATAATAATAATAATAATAACTATAATAATAATAATACTAATTATAATAGTAATAAAAATAATAATATAAACAATAATAATAGAAATGTTAACAAGAATAGTAATAGTAATAGTAATAGTAATATTAGTAACAATGATAATAATAATATTAGTAATCCTAATAATAGTAATAATAATAATATTAGTCGTAGTAATAATAATAGTATTTATTATAATAAAAAAAGTAATAATAATTATAGTTATAATAATAGTAATATTAATAGTAATTGTAATTGTAATAATATTAATTGTAATAGTAATAGTAATAATAATAGTAATATTTATAATAGAAGTAATAATAATAATAGTAAGAGTAACAATAATAATAGTAATAATAAATATAATAATATTAGTAATAATAATAATAATAATAATAAAACAATAGTTATAATAACTATAATCATAATAATAATAGTAATAATAATAATTATAATAATAATAATAATAATAATTTTGTTTAGATTTGGTGTGGTCTCATCTGGTCTGGTCTGATCTTATCTGATTTGATTTGATTTTAATAAGAATAAGTAATAAGCAGAAAAATAAGTTGAACAGAACGCTGCCTAAATCATATCCCCTCTCTCACCTCTAATATATTATCTCTTCACCATTTTACCAAAGAAAATGATTGTACCGTTGTTTTTAATGTCAATAATTTTTAGATAGTGGACAACACGACGAATTAGGCACGGTACTTGGGCCCTCGTGAACATGGACTATACACCCCCCCCCTTCGAAGCCCAAGTACGTTGTGTATCATGTTGTTCTTGTGTCTACACGGATTCGTAGACTCGGTCATTTAGCTCTTGCTATTGCCAAGTCCATCTTATCTTCCTTAGGTTTTAAATTCTCTGAACTTTTACATTGTGATTCATGTTATGTATTTAAGTCTTGTCATTTACCTTTTCAATTTTCTGAACAAAGTAAATGTACCTTTTCAATTAATACATTCTGACATTTGGGGGTCAAGCTCTGACTCTTCTGTTAGTGGTTTTCGATTTTATCTCTTTTATTGATGATTTCAGCAAATTTACATGGATTTGCCCACTTAAACACAAGCCTAAGGCTTACTCGGTATTTGTTAGTTTTGGAATAAACGATCAAAACACAACTCAACACTCAAATTCAAGTTTTCCGAAGCAATAATGAAAAAGAATTTGTGAACACTTCCTTTGGGCTTTTCTCAATAACTTAGAGATGCTCCATCATAACTTTTGTCCTTATACTTCCAAGTAGAAAGGAGTTTCACAACGTAAGCACCGTCGGCTCATTGAGACTATTGCTTCATTATTCTACGACTCTTGCGTGCTCCCGATATTCTGGGTTGATACCCTTGCTACAACTAATTATCTCGTCAATCACTTACCAACTCCAAACCTGGATGGGAAATATCATTTCGAAGCATTGTATGGTCATCCTCCTGATTATGTCCACCGTCGGCCTCACACCCTCCACAAGTTCTAACCTCGGTCTACACCATGTGTTTTCCTAAGCTACCACCGTACAGTGGCCAAAGGATATCATCATGAATATGGTATTGATTATAAGGAGACATTCAACCTCGTTGTCAAGCAACAAACTATTTGTTTGGTTCTTTCTCTGGCACGTCATGATGGCTGGCCTATACACCAGTTAGATCTCAGCAATGCTCTTCTTCATGGTTCACTCGAAGAAGATATCTACATGGAAAATCCGCCGGATATGTGAATCCCAATCGCACGCACAATGGGTGCAAGTTGTGCAAATCCCTTTAAGGACTTAAACAGGCTCCTCGTTCTAAGTATACCTTTTTTGCTTCTTTTTTATAGGGGATTGGTTTTCTTTTTTGCAGACATGATACAAGTTTGTTCACTCTTCATTATTTTTGTGGCAAAATGATTGTTCTATTTTACTTCGATGACATCACCATTATAGGATGTTCCTCTTCTTTTATCTCAACGGTCACTCAGGCTATGCATTGTGAGTTTTGCCTAAAGAATTTGGGCCCACTAGATCTCTTCCTAGGTAATGAGGTACGACACACAAAGGATACTATTTTACTTCATCAGATGAAGTACACTCTTGAGCTTCCTAATAGGGTTGGTATGTCTGATTGGAGACCAGCCATCACGCCCATGAGTGCATGGTCATCTACAAGACCGTCTCCTCTAATCTCTGATTCTAAACTCTTTCGTAGCATTGTTGGTGAACTACACTATCTGGTTGTCAGTCGTCCAGACATTCATTATGCTATGAATTGGGTGACCCAAATTCACTATTTCCCATTTTGTCCAAAGTCATTAGAACTCACCAAACAAGGAAATACAAGAAATGAATACACCGTAAAAGAAAAAACGTGAGAAGTGCACTGAAGCACCTCATAAGGAACAAAGAAAGAGTCTTCTCCTCCAATGCAATCTCTTCTTATTCCACTCTATAGATTTGGGACTTCAATCATGATAATCCAGTGAGGCTTGGATGGAAGCCATGGATGGCTCCAGCAGCTAGGCGTTGCGAACGGACAAGAACAACCCAGGGAAGTACTTTTTTTATTTTAACTCAGTTTTATTTTCTTTTAATTAGGATTTTGAATTTGTTATTTTCTCTAAAGGGTGAATTCCAAAATTCAGTATTATATATCTTTAGTTTCAATTCGTACTTCGTTAAATGTTTAAGTTAAATTATAAATGTTATTTGTTTGAGTGTTGATGTTGAAATCTATGATTTGTTGAGTGATTATTGTCTCTTAAATGATAAAACTTTCTTAGGTCGAAGTGTTTGACAAAAACGATTGAATCTTTGGTTTGGTTGTTCTTGTTTAATTAATTTGACTTTGAATGAGTTTTAGCTTTACACTACTGTTAAAACTAAACTCTAAAAGGTGTTCTTAGCACTATTATTCACCAGATTTTACTTAAATTGGACTAAATTCAGACTGCTTCCGAATCCACTTTAAAATGATATTCTTTTAAAGTCCTAATTACTTTAAATAGTCGAACTTTTCTATAAACCAAGTGTCACTTGATTATTACTTGGCTGACTCGTTAAGCGGTTTTTTGTAATCAAGGTTCTCAAACTGATTTCGTTA